AGTAAGGTTTGTCACGTGAACAAATCGTGCCAATTAGCTACTACTTCATCACACCGTGTGTCACGGCGACTAAACCCACAACATTTACAATTGGTTCACGGAACGTTTGTATTTACTCAATTTATCCCCAAAAACCTTTGATTAATTATGCATATTGGTTGCGAAAGCCTACGTGTTAAATTAACATGAGGTTAATACTGGTAGGAAACTCCTGGTTACACCAGCCCAGATGGGGATTATTGTGTCCGTCCGTCGTGCATAAAAAAATGGGAGGGGTGGGGTTGGGTGGAGAGGGGAGGGTGGGGAGGGGCTGGGTGGGGAGGGTGGGGAGGGGCTGGGTGGGGAGGGGAGGGTGGGGAGGGGCTGGGTGGGGAGGGTGGGGCTGGGTGGGGGAGGGGTGGGGCTGGGTGGGGAGGGGCTGGTCACCCCGTGGTGCCCTTATAAAACTCAACGTTTAACCTACTCACGCCGGCTTGTGCCCGCCCTCACAGTCGGGCATATTTGCGGAATACACCACGCCGCCGTTGACCCTGGCCATTGACCGAGCAACCCAAAGTTCCTACCAGCTCCCTCCGCAGGAATGTGTTTACAATCCAATTTGTCCACGGATTGTTATGGTGATGAATGAGGCCAAACTGGATCCTGTTGAACGAAAATCGCTCAAGTGCTGGGACTGTCGAGTTCATCTTATGAAAGGAGGTACGTCAAATATTTGTAAGGGGGTCGAGGATGCAAAAGTATTGGAAGGACATCTTCCAACGAGACTGTAAAGTACACAGGCTCTTTACATCTTCTGCATTCTCAGGATGACAAAAGGATGCTCAGGCAAAAGTTAGACGCACCCCAAACTCGTGCCCAATGTCAAAAAAGTTGTGTCCATCCGGTCACACACAGATACTGGAATATAAGGTGCATCCACAAGTTTTGATTTTACAATACCCGGGGGGAGGATGAAAAGTGTCCAGAGAAAACAGCATCACCCAGAATTTTTATGAACATAAAATAATAATTCATTAACACCAACATATTTACCTCCATGTTGTAGGTGATGTGTTCTCTACACTAAGATAATATAGTTGACACATGGGGGGTATTTACGAGGAGGCAACATATTCTAGTTTACATTTGGGGTGGAGTGATTGTGCAGTGGCATGCGCACTGCGCTATCCCGCGTTCGTTTCTCGGCTACGGCCAACATCAGTAGCGAGCGATATCCGAACCAGTCCTGCATCCCACTTACGGACACGCACTAAGCAGCGTGATGAAGTATGGTCAGACAACCCCCATGGCCGACAAGGCGTGGAAGAGATCATCGAGCGGTGGATTAAAAGACCTGTAAATTGTCATTTGCTTCAAAGCAAGACATCACAGTTCATTCAGGATCGTCTCGTACAGGCAACTTATTTATCACGAAATTCACAATGTTCTGATCTTATCTTTAAATACAAAAATTGCATAATTGATATCAATTCATTAAAGCTGAGATACATGCGTACTTGTAATTATAAGGCAGATTGACATTCATGCGAATCACATCCATGCAAATGTATTTAATTGTCTTCAGATGGGTGACTTTTACGGGGAAATTGTTTAATTAAAATCCAGCCATAAATGTGCGGATATTACCCTTCATCTTGTAAGAGGCGGGAGTGCCCTTACATCTTACCTCACCACACGGCGACCAGCCAATCGACTTTTGGCGCACCCCGCTTCAACTGCCGTGCCGAAAATCGAGCCGGGGACCTCTGGTTTGCAAGTCCAGTGTGCTCGCCATTTCATTACAAAACAGCAGCAACCTTTGCAAGGATATCGGGTTTTTTTCAAAAATCCAAATTATCGATATATTCAGTTCACATTTTACATGTGACATTCGGATTTCCAGGGGTGTCCTGAAAATCTTGAATAGACAATCTCATTGTCCAAAAGAAGACGTTCATTCATCATCGTCATCATCGTGTTATTCAGTCCTGCACCTCCCACGCATTCAATCTCGAGTCGAGCAGGCAAACGACGGTGAATTAAAACAGTGATTTATTAAGTTTAATTGTGCCACCATCTGTGCAACTGTCAACAGTGCATATTTTAAAGTGTTCCAATTAAGCAAGCATGGTTTTTCTAATGCATATGTGGGTTCTCAAATGTATGCAGAACCACCACTATGTTTTGTATATATATTTGTGCTGTACTCTGCACACTTACAGGTTAACTCTTGTAAGCGGTGGTTAATTCACAATAATCACATGATTACTTGAGCCCAAAAACCCGCAAAAATCCCATTGGACACGACGTCTCTCGTTGCAAAAATGCCCACGTGGTCAGAGAGCGTTCGTTGCAAGATTGCAATGGCTGCTTTACTGGTAATATACAACAACAACAAGACGTGATTGCCCGAGACGCTTTCCACACCCCATCACGAGTGATTGATTCTCTTGAGCAAAAAAAAAATAGGAACGACAAAAAAAGACGATTTGGGACATCCCCTTTGGAGTCAAAATTGAGTGCTAGTGACAAACGAGCCACTCTCTGACCTCGTTGCCACGGTTACGGCTGATGGAGCCAGGTGGTTGATGCCTATCTACAGCAAAATCACCCCTTGCCAGACGCTAATTGCTCACGTGCTAATTGCCGGCGAGTCGTGTGTCGAGTCGCCAAGAGACGATCATCGCTTGCAGGTGAGACGTCGTCGTTGTGTGGGAACTGCCGTGGTGAACCAGAGCAGAAATCGGTCCCACGGAGGGTGGCAAATCTTGAGTTTAAAATCGAGATTAAATCTTGAGTTGTAACAACGTATTTTAATACACGGCCCAATCGCACTAAATTACTTGATAACCTCGCTCATTTCAAGTGGCTGTTAGCCAATTGCCTATGATTAGCCACACAAAGGAATTGCAACCATATTAATTGATGCTGCCAACAAAGTGAAATGTCAACTCTGGGCTCACGAACTCTTTTGGCAGCAATAACAAAAAAGATTGTTGGGGTAAGTGCTTTTCGTGAGCACCTATGAAGGGGGTGGGTGGCCAACACCACGCCCGGCCGCCTTTGTCTCCCGAGTGGTGACATTTAATGCTGAGTCGACCTAGGGGAGGCCCACGACCGGTTCAGATAATCGTCACTGGTGTTGGCCGTGAGCAGGAATCGAACTCGGGTATACCGCTCCCGAGCAACGCGAGATGCACGTGCAGCCTATTCCGTAGCCCTTCACACTACAATGAAAGTGCTGCTATGCAATCCCAAACATTTTAAAACGGTAGCTCGTACGAACGTGCCCTCTGTCAGACGCAAATTAGTTTCCAGTTTTAACGACACTATGCCATACATGCAGCGAATAATGTTAATTCACTGCTGGATGAAGTCTGCCCCATTCCATATCAGTCACGTCAGTTGTTTGGTGGCAGTTAGTCGAAATTGTGGTCAGGTTCATACCGCAGCGCGCTAACCACGACACCACCACTCCCCGACCAATGCAGCACTTTAGAGTATTTGGCTGCTATAAATTCCCACATGATGATAATCCACTTCGTTGAGCTATCGTTTGTGGCCAGGTCGCTTCTGAAAAAGAGCTACATAGCTCAGTGGGGCCTTACCTGGTCAAATTAAAATAAATAAATCTTAAAATGCAAGCTGCCGTAATACAAACCACAACCGACTGTTGTCAAACCTGTAAGCACGCTTATTTAGGTTATAAAACACGTTTATGTGCGCCACAGTCTAAATCACAATTTGCTTTTAAGCTTAGTCGTGCTTAATCGGCAGTCACCTCTCTGAAGGACGGTGCTTTTGGTTTGAACGCCCGTTGCTCGATTTTCTTCCCAGCCAACGCAGCGTTTACTTAGAATTGCAACGGAATAAAAAGTGTGACGAAAAAAAATAATCGGAGTGGACATATGTATGGTTGCCACCATTGAGGCATATATAAAAAAAAAATCACCGCAGATATGACGGGAAGATGATCTTACAACACGGGACGAGGTGGGAACTGCAGTAAATGTAAATGCATCGTCTTGCGCGGCGATGTGGCGTTATTATGCGAGTGACAAAAAATGGACTTTTAATGATGTGGGGAGACTTCAGATGTCACAAAATGGCAACCTCATAAAGAGGATGTCCTGGGGAAACCCAGGACAGGTGGCAACTGTAGCCATAAGATTCTGGATCGTCACAAATACACTTGCTCCTTCACTGCTTGTTGTTGTGTAGTGTTGATACGGTATTGATGTTGAACGTCGTATGTGGCCTGCAATCACTTCGCGACCGAGCAATTTATCTCCAATGCCGCTTAGCTTTGGCGTCTTTTCGATGTACCGCACGGGAGGCAGGCGCACTCTACACATATTCTTTATTAAGCCTGTGCCCTTAGAGACTGGGATTCAGAGTAGAGTTGGATCTCGCTGGATTCCATCACCGCTGCTTGAATCATTATCTTCCCACCAGAAATCCAATTCATCCACTGGGTTACATCAGTGTACGCCGTGGAATGCAGGGGCCCTAAAGCAGTTCCTGTGGGTAAACCCTGCCCAGGTTGTGGCCACATCGTGGCAACAAGTTTGAATTCGTCACACACAGCGTGTGATCGTCAATAGTTTTTATTCGGGGGGGGCTTATTCGCGCGCGTCTTTTTGTTTGCCGTGGTGTCCGACGTTTCGCTCCACGTGCTGGCAGCTTCAGCTTTCGTGCCGAACGTGTGATAGGAGCAGAAAATACATCGGAGAACTTTACGATGCAACGGGAAACAAAAGCTACGCCCTTGTTACGAGTGCGGTACATGGTGGTCCAGATGTCTTGTGACCCACAAATTAATGATATAAAACTTTCTTTAATTTTTTTAAACGAAAATGTATTTAAAACAGACATTTTAAAACATAAATGAATATGCAAACGTGAAACAAAATTTGGGGGTCAATTAATTTGGTATCACAAGACATATGGACCACGCTGGAGGTTCCGTTTTAAACAATCTCGATGATTTACATCACAGCAGCAATTGATGCGACAGACCATTTCAGTTCGTCCTAAAATTCCTTTATGCAGAATTTGTCACTTAAACATTGCATACATGCAGTTATTGGACAATACAGTGCAATACATACTAGGAGTCTTGGAAGTTGAGGTCTCTGGAAGGAGAATGATCATGGCCGGAAGCCAAGGAAAGGAACGCGTCTAAGGTAACATCCATAGAAGAGATGGAGCAATGAAATCGGCTTATATATGGGTGCTGTTATGGAACATTACAACGTAGGATCACGAGAGATAGCGACGGTTTGGGTGAGGTCTTCATCCAGCAATTGACTGATCATGGCTGATGACGATAATGATGACAGTGCACATGGTACATCTGAACTTTAAATAATGTGTAATTTAATTTCCTGCATCATTGGACACACATTGGGCTTAACACTAACAATCCAATCACACCACATTTAAAAAAAAATTTAACAAGACGAAAAAATACCCAACTCGTTAATTCATTGAAGTACCGGATGTTAAATGTAAACATTCAATAATTATGAAGCTACCTTTTTTATTTTCAAAAGCAACATCTTTTTTCATGTAAGACAATTTGAAATGACGTGAACAGGGCCAATTAAAATAACAAAATTCACGTTGACACACGTAGTCAGATACAACTGTTGAAATAACCTTTTTAGATTTAAGAAAAGACAATTTGTTCAAACCCACCCATCACCAGATGCTCGCCAAGTGCCTTGCACGCCCAATGATGCGGTAACCGCGTGACAACCTTATTAATTGGAGTGCAGGAGGATTGACGACACGCGCATTGCTCTATGTGGGTTCGTTTTGCGCGATGTTACGCTGTATTATGCGCGGCTAACCTATTTCTACCCACAATTCGCTACATTTTGCGGTTTTAATTTACTCAGATGCGGCTGTGCGGTCGGACGTAGGACAGTGTGCGTCTATCGTACGCGCCACCCGGCAAGTGGCTGTCTCGTGCGGTTTCGCTTTGTGCGCACCGTTCTTGGAACGCATCTTCTACTACGACCGCGCAGAGCATGGGAAACGAGTGTTTTCGCGGGTTGTGATTTACGACTCTCCGATGTGTTTTTTATTCTTTCACTGAAATTGAGTTCCTGCAAATTCCACCCGTCCCCTTCCACACCATCCAACCCTTGCCTGTTACCACCTCCTTTGCACCGGTTAGCATCCGTTTTGTTTTGGGCAGCCAAGGCCAGAAGCAGGAGTTCCTCTGCTCCAAGGCAATGTATGAAGGCAGTGGTGGAAAGCAGAAACAAACCGCAATTCTTCAGGGATACAATGACTCATACCCCAGTAATTCATGGGATGTTTTGTTTTAATTTCAATCACAGGGGCGATTTTGTCATGAGTCACACCATCACTTGCCCCGTCGTCTCACTCGCACCGTCTCGTTTGTCGCGTCTCAGATGTCCCCGCCCGTAGTGTCAAATTGTGTTTAAGCCGAATGCAAAAACGTTTGTACAATTTGCAAGAACAGATAACAATTGATTTTACTCGTATGACCTGTTGCATGTTTCGCGAGTGCAAAAAGTGACTTTCATTTGAAAACTGAATCACTGTGATTATGCCAGCAATTTTCTTGTGAGACACTACGCTTTGTGTAAATGCGACAAAACTACCGCGGTTTCAACCTCCCAACTAATTTGAGCTTGCGCGCCAAGCTAATTGCAAGGGGCCTCCGATGTTGTGTTCGGAGTTGCTGCTCACAACTCATTCAGCATATCGTCCGACGTTTCGCTCCACAGTGCTGGGAAACGTTGGGACATCTCGCTCCGCACGTTGCAAGTTCCCACCTAGGCACATGCGGCGGAACGTCGGACGTCGTGGCGAAACAACACCCGGTATGACAAGAAAACGCAGCGGAGAGCCGTACAGCAGCACAGCCGCGCGCGAGTAGCAGGAGTCCCAGTAGTAAGAGGCACACGTAGTAAGAGGCACAACGGGAGTGAACGCGCGGTGTTTCCCAAGTTTTCAAAGTTGTAGCTCCTCTCTTCCGTTCCACCACCTTCTCAGAGCGACAGCAGCGGATGCTGGTAGACTCAAACATCCGCAGCGAACGTCCAAGACTCCTGGACAAAGAGGGCATGTAATAATAAAATAATACATTAATTTACTTAGCGTCTGCCAACAGCATCCCACAACACTATACAAGGAGTAAATCCCATGTACACGGTTGGCTATGTATGGTGAGAAAAAAGGCCAACACACACACATACCGAGAAAATGAAAACCCCTACAACTACCAAGCAAAATTAAAAATTTGTAAGCAAATTAAGAAATAGCACAAACACAAAAGGCACAAACGACAAAACAGTTATCAAAATTAGTTCACCAACAGACCGCTGCCATACGGACTCAATCAAATGCTTTGCCACCTGGAAATAAGGCTACGAGGTTTCCCCAAGATGTAACGGAAGTTGAACTATTTTATTTGCTTGCTGCCCTCTTATCTGCTACTCCCATTTATGAGAGTCCCCAATCAATCGATGGACACTGCCCATTATTCTGGGATGCATTCTTCAAAATAAACGTGGATATGCAGCTAAGGGGCAAACTGGAAGTGGTCTCACAGCGCTAAAATCATAACATTTGGTTTTTTTTTGTTTGATAAAAGAATTCGAGTAGACAATTAATCCAAATTTCTGTGTTTATCCATGGAAAAATCCCAACCCCCCTCCACCAAAAGCGGCGATAATCCAACCGATTATCCAATCACCAATAATTGCGGGGACTATCACGAGTTATTTGCCTGGACACAGGCATGGATAACATTATCTGCCAAAGACACCCCTCCACACGATACCACTCCGCACATTAATGTGGCTAAGGGGCGTTTCACTGCGCTGCAATTTTACACCACGATGGTGATGACAACACCTCCGTGCTGTCACCGCACGTTGCTGCCACCTGGCGTGACAGGACCCGTGTTGCGCGAGCACAGCACCCGTGCTTGCTCCCACACGTGCTGCTCACACACCCGTGCTGCGCCCTTCATTGCAGGACGCCTATTTCCTGCAGCATGCCCTGCAGCAGGCCGCTGCGCTCCAACGCCTCCGTGTCCGAGCCGCCGCCGATGCACTTCTCCCCGATGTACACGCGCGGCACCTGCGGGGCACAGGCGTTCATTCCAGGGTCCGTCAGATGCGACGCATTGCGGCCAGGGCCGGATTAAGGTTACGAGGGGCCCTAAGGCAAACAGGAGAGAAGAGCCTGTGTATGTACTGTATGACATTGCAAAAAAAAAAACATTATGAAGTCATTAAACATTTTTCTCTGGCAGTGGCTTTTGGCTCGCTCTCGAACAAAGAGGTCGCCGCATCGCGCACTTTCAGATGCGCTTCTGCGGCCGTCTGGAACGCTCTTCCGACATTAGGAAGCCGCTGCAGTCATGCACTTTTAAATCTAGATTGAAAACTAATTTCTTTAGAACAGTTTTTTGTGTTTAGATTGTTGTCCTTTCCCCCCACACCTCCAATTAGCACGGTTGGCTACGTACGGTACGAAATTCAAAGACAAAGCGTTCTTGACGGCCACGCCACCGTAGCTCAGAGATGTTACTTTACCGTGGAATAGAGAAGCCTAAAGGAGTGCCGGTGGGTTAATCCCGATTAACCTTCTCAACTTGAAACACCTGCCCCCCACCCCTTGCAATCAGAAATCCAATTCATCCACTGGGTTACACCAGTGTACACCGTGGCATGGAGAGGCCTAAAGGAGGGCCTGTGGGGTAATCCTGCCCAAATGCGGCTGCATCGTAGCAACAACGTTGAGTTCGTCACGCAGCGTGTGATTGTCAATACGTTTTTTTTTGGGGGGGGGGGGGTTATTAGCGCGTGTCTTTGTTTGCCGTCGTGTCCGACGTTTCGCTCCACGTGCTGGGCAGCTCCAGCTTCGTGCCGAACAACACGCGGTAGGACCAAAAATAATACATCGGAGAACTTCACGACGCAACGGGAAGACAAAAATGTACGCCCTTGTTACGAGCACAGTACAGGGTGGTCCGGATGTATTCTGACCCCTTGTTAATTCTCAAAAACTAAAAAAAAAATTCAAGAAAGGTTTATTTAAAGCAGAAATTAATATGCAAATAAAAAAAAACACATGTTTGGGGTCAATGAATTGGGGAGGGGGAGGCGGGTGTCACAAGACATCTGGACCACCCCGTTCATTGTCGCTGTACACTATTTAAAACCAGGTGCTGCGGGCCGATATTACCAGCTAAGGGCAGTGCACCGACCCAAAAGGGTCAAGTATGGTCAAACAACCTCCATGATGGTCACGGCGCGAGGGGGCCTTCATTCGGCAGGGCTATGATTCTTTGTTTTTATTGTGTGCACCATCTCATCTGAAGCAGCAACAACCCATTGAGTAAGTCTTGCTGTGTGAAACGGTGTACTATAACACTCCAAAGCGGCACACTTAACAGAGCCAGTACTAAACTGAAACTAAACAATTTTTATTTTACCAAGTAAGGGCCCACCGAGATATATAAACTCTTTTTCAGAACCGACCTGGCTATCACAAATGATAGCTCAACGAAGTGGCTCATCGTGTGGTAATGTACAGCAGTGGCTAAATACTCCAAACGCGTGACGTTGATTCTCAATGCTGAGGGGAAAAAACCGTAAACATGGAACGTCGGCACAACGGTTCCAACCACATGGCAAAAAATACCCAATATTGTTGCTATGGATACTGGGTAGTTAGCCACTGCAATTAAACAATCATATTAATAATAATAAAAGTTTAAAACTTTTTTAAAACACGCTTTTATAAAATGGCAATTTCAGCCAACTTCAGCTGACCGTGGACAATTAGACCCAGCCGAAACATAACATATAAAAAGGATGTTTAAAAATATGTTTTTTTTATGATAGAATATAGTATTGTCATCAGTATGACATAAGTATACCAAGTTTGCAGTCGATACCACATTGGGAAGTGGGTTAAAATTGAGTTACAAATTTGAGGATACAACAACGACGACAAGAACAACAACAGACAGAGTGAGTTAAATAAAAGCGTGTAAAAAGCACCCATTCTAGATCATCGAGACTCAACAGTTCCAACGCCACGAAGTCAACTATAACTTTGAAGGAATTGCAAACATTCCACCGACACTTTGTTCAACAGTGCAGTGCAAGAGGCACTTTATCTCCCGAGTGCTCTTGACACAGAGCCCCATGCATCAATGCTCACACGAGCGCACACCCGCAAACAGCCCAACCGTAACGCGAGCACGAGCAGACGCTATGCACTCACAGGGTAGAGCAAGCGACATTCGATGCAGTAGGCTCCTGAGTCATGCTCCAACGCTGTACTGGATCTCAAAATAACTGAACCGCGTAATTTTTACTGGTAGGAACCGCCTGGTTCCACCAGCCCACAGGGGATTCTTGTGTCCGTCCGTCGTGCATCCAAAAATGGGAGGGGAGGGGCTGGGTGGGGAGGGGCTGGGTGGAGAGGGGCTGGGTGGGGGGTGGGGAGGGGCTGGTCTCCCCGTGGTGCCCTTATAAAACTCAACATTTAACCTACTCACGCCGGCTTGTGCCCGCCCTCACAGTCGGGCATATTTGCCGAATACACCACGCCGCCGTTGACCCTGGCCATTGACCGAGCAACCCAGCGTTCCTACCAGCTCCCTCCGCAGGAATGTGTTTGTTAAGCAGTGCCAGTTGTTTCTTGACAAGAAACGCCAGAAGACTGGCGAATTCTTTCCGAGTGAATGAGTAAGCCTGTGGAAGATATTTTTTGGTTTCAATTGAACGAGACGATGTTGCAACCCGTTTAGAAATATTATAGTGTTAACAGCCCAACAGAGTGCTGCGTTTAACAAGAAGTATTTACCTCCCACTCAATTTATGAGATCCAGTGTAAAAAAAATTACAAACGTTGCACTGACCCAAGTAGTAATCACGTAACGGAACAAAAGTACAACAAAATATCTTACACGTAATTTAAACATTGGATAATTTACCAAGGGAGGGTGCGCGCATTAATTCTACACTAACCTGTTGCCTGGCCTGCGTCACACGATTGTCCCCGTCCCAGAGTTCACAAGCCGGTTAGTTTAACGTGACAGGTCCACACAGCACCTCCAAGTGGCAGACAAGAATGTGACGCGCCCATGTAGAATCTGATCTGTCGCTATTTGTGGAGTTGCGTGGTGCCACCAATCCCTCTGGCCTCACCACTATACGGTACATGTGGGTTTTTATACAACTTCATTGCGCCAGTCTGTGAATGCAAAAGCAGCTTCGTCTGTCGGTCGTTCTTCACCACGTGCGTCTGACCGTTTCGGAATGTACTCGCGAAATTATTTGAACACGGAGGCTGTCGCGACCAATATTATTCCAAAGTATGTTTTTGGGTTTCCACTGCGATGGAACTCAAAAACTTATATGGATACTCGCGTAATTATTGTCGAACAGAGTCTTGTGACAGTAAGGGAACAGGGAAGTGTTCAGTGGCGCAGCAACGACATTATCAGCTCAGGAGGTGCGGAAGTCGATCAGGTGGGGCCCTAATATTTGTTTTGTCTCGTAAAGTCACACCAAGGTTATTACACTGTGTAACAAAAAAATATTCCTGCGTAGTGTTATTTCCTAATTGCTTATGCCTCAAAAGCACAGAAAAATGGCTATCATTCCCCACAAACTTTGCTTTTGTGACCAGAACAGTGATTTTAGAAATGTACCTATTTTCAATGAGAAAACGTGTGCATTTGTGTCAATCCTTCACATAAAGTCCTGGTCACAAAAGCAAAGTTTGTTGGAAAAAAGTCATTTTCTATACTTTTTAGGCATAAACAATTTAAAAAAATAACACTTAATACCCAGAAACAAAAATTGTGTTTCATAGTGTCATCTATCGCGGCTTCTCTTGCCTAATCACATCATCGTTACACTCACGGTCTCGAACATTTAACGCTGTAGGGGCGCTCCGTCTTCACAAAATGCGGCGACTACAGCTCCGTAGTAGTGCTTCTTTGCAATGTACTTGACGCGTATCCAGCGAAATAAATATCCCAGAAGCGGGAGTTCCATGTAAAACATTTTCATTTAAAAAAATGAAACCGCCGTTTTAAATAAGTTTTTGGTTTTTTACACTGTTGTTGAAAGCATATCTGTTGCTAGATTCCAAAGAACACAGGATGAGATGTTACTATCCTTTGTGCAAGCACTTCCAAGAGTTCATGAACAGTGAGCCTGGTGAAATTTGGGGAGCGCATCGTCAGTAGTGACCCTTTGGTTCCTAGGGTGTTTCAGCCTTTCATACTATACACCCTCCCCAAAGGCGGCCAGCGACAGGGTGATCAATCCTACGCTTGCGTCCCATTCCCAATTAGTCATAGGAGTTGCCTTGTTGTTGGTAGCCAACATCCCATGGGACTATGCATGGCAGGGGCGTCCTCCTCCCTGAGTCAAGCATTGTTGACTGCATACCTCCTGGCCCTCTCACTTTGGGGCCCAGCTGGGGTCTTTCCTCTTCATCCAGAGCCACTGACTGCTGCCTTCTGCCGCCTCCGATACAGCTTTGATTGCCGAACGCTGGCTCTGGCCCTTAATTCCCAGGTCTCTAAGCAGTCTGGTTGTAGATGTTGCCACAAAACCTCTGCAGCCCACCTCCACTGGTCGGACTTCTGTGTTCCAGCCATGATGCCGTGCTTCGGCAGCTAGATCGGCATAGCGCAGATGTTTTCGCTCATAAGCCTCATCTACTAAAACATATTACGAGTACGTGTGGTTAATGCAGACTTGATTCCTTGCTAAATGTATCCATTTGGTGTTTGAACATCTTAACACCTGTTTTGTTGCCAGAAAGGGGAAATCTAATTCTTGTTTTTTTCTATTTTTTTCATATTTAAATATTGGCAAAAAGGTTCCATGATATATCTCGAGGTTATCAAGGGAGCCCCAACTCGTAGCTTTGGCGCCGGCGGGGGGGGGGGGGGGGCAAGGCACCCCCTGCCTGCCCCACGCTCGTTATGCGACTGAGTGTACAGCGTTCAATTTGAACGGAGTACGATTTGCAACCCTTGACCTAGGTCAATAAAACTGTGACCAAATGCTCATTCCAATAAATGTCCTGTCCCACGAATGCACCTAGTCAAGTGACTGCCTACTACACCAGGGGACCCATTCAACAATGACACTGTGGCCTTAGAAGGAAAAACATAAAATAGACGACGTTTCAGGAAATGGTCCTTTGCTAATAGTGCATAAATTTGCCTTGGATATTATAATGGCACTTTGATAATGGTTAGAGTACATTCAAACTAGGTGGCTAAAATGTTTCCGAACAAATACATTATAAAGGTCGCACACATTACACACAAAGTACTTGCCACAAATGAACCACGATACATTTAAAACTAATTTCTTTCGGAACCGTTTTTGCGTTTAGTTTGTTTGTGGTCCTTCCCACGAACCTCCGATTAGCACGGTTGGCTACTACGTACGGTGCGAAATAAGTTCAGCATACGTACATACATTGTGTGGGTGGGTAAGTAGGTGGGTGAGTGAGTGAGCGAGTCGATGAGTGGGTGAGTAATTGGTTTACCCTTCCCACGAACCTCCGATTAGCACGGTTAGCTACGTACGGCGGGAAAGAGGTTCAACATCCATAAAGTAGGGCAGTGTTACAAGCGAAAGTGTTGAGTTGTTGGTGAATTCGTCATAGATGGGTCGTGAGTACACTAAAAACGATATCCTGTATTTTGTATTTTACCAGGTAAGGCCCACTTGAACTATATCGCTCTTTTTCAGCAGCGTCCTGGCCACAAATGACAGCTCAACGAAGCTGATTATCGCGTGGAAATGGACACCAGCCGAATACTGTGAACGCGTGTTTCTAAATGTGGATGGAATAACCGGAGGACCCGGGAGAAAAATTCACGGGGAGAACACGCAAACGTAAAATATACGGGCGTCAGGGTCGAGATCAGACCCACGACCTCCAGTATACCACAAACAAAGAGCGGATTGTGTGCCAATAAACATTCTGTTATCTCCATATGAACAAGTATGTTGCTATGTTTCTTATGGACATGACTACCGGAAAATAAAGGTTGCTAGAGTGTCACTGAGCACACACACACACACACGCAATGCTTGCCGTTGTAAAACAAACCAGGCAAACGCCTCTAACACAAAGTAACCAGTGAGAGTTTCAGTAATATACATAAGTTGAGTTGGGCAACTTATTCAATTGAGTCACGTGTTACAGTTTGAGGTTATGACCATACTTCACCACGCTGGTCAGTGTGGGTTGGTGTCGTCAGAGGAGCACACATATATAGACATACACACACAAGTGGAAGTTTGTTTGTAGTACAGTACAGTGGCCACGAGTTAGCCAGTCGGGAGATAGAAACGACACAACGGCTGGAAATGTCCATTAAATGAGCGTTTGTGGTTACAAAGCTGATGATTGTGCGAGTGAACCCAACACGTGGCTTCATGTTTCTGTGCTGGCAGTGAAGGGGGTGGCCCGTTTGTGTTACGAATACGAACCATTCAGCAAAGTTCATGGGCAGCCAGTGGTGCAGTCTTTCTTTTAAAAAAACAACGCCATCATTTCCCTCCTTATGTAACATCACAGTCATGTTACACAACACTATATCCGTGGTGTGTGCAAGCCACATCTACCGCAGACTTGCCATAAAATCACATGAATTGAAGCAAAACTTGACTTTTCATGTGCTTTTTTTATTCGTTTGCGCACCATTTATTTTGCAATTTTACTTTCACTCAAGTCGGTGACAGCCGCCGAGTCCATGACGCGTTTCATGTCTCATTCCTGTTGATGCCCGATGCCCTCGCTGCACCGATATTGTCACGTAAAATAAAGACTGACTGACCGATTGATACCCTATAATCCATTGCATATACCACGGTCAATGACACCAGGCGTATGGACAAATCCAACCGCCCATGACTTGCGCGGTGTGGGAGTGACCCTCCATCCAGCAGTGGAGTGACAAACGGGTTGTGCATGGTGGGATGCGACACAGCAACACGAAATTGCACGAGCGTTCGGCCGCGATCGAAGTGAAGGCAGTGACATGACAACTCCGCGCCGATAACATTCCGTGAGATAGTATTCCAAATCAAAGACAAACATGACGAGTAGACATTCACGAAAATGATTTACAGCCCCTTCAATCCACTGCTGGATGAAGGCCACGTTGGTTCATGGGGGATGCTTGACCATGCTTCACCACGCTGGCTAGTTCTGGTCGGTGGAAGAGGGCGTGGGGGGGGGTGACAGATCAAGTTCAGATAATTATCACTCGCCACCCATGTTGGCCGTGAGCAGGAATCGAAATTGTCAGGCAGGATTGTAAAGAATTGCTCTGTGCCACCCGCTCCACCAAGTCAACACTGTTATCTTCACGTGAAGATAAGGGAATGGGGATGCGGGGGGGGGCTAGAGTAGGCGAGTAAACAGAAGTTAAATGATTAAAGCTAAGGCGATCGACATGTACACTTCTTCCTAACTTCTTTGAACCAATTGTACAGAGAATTCATTATAATTAAACCACGTGTTGCAGGCGGCTACCGGGGCAACGTTATCGGCAAGGGAAGAGTGAAACAGCATCCATTGTTGTACCCTACTATGTTCCGTCTATGCTCCCCCCGTCTGGTGAAATATGTGCCGAAAATCCCGAGGGAGTGCAGAGGCCCTCAATCTGGCCAAGACGGCTGCCGTACACAAGATAAGCTTACACTGTTAAAGATACAGACTACGTTAAGTACGGAAAACATAAGCCCCTGTGTCAATCAATGGATTTGAAAAATTTACATGTTCTGGATGTTACAGTTCTGCAGACGTGTCATGATTGAGATGTTTAATGGCGCAACAGTGGTGAGATGTTAACTACCTCGCCTGGTATACAGGAGGTCGTGGGTTCGATCCCGATCCCGACCCTGACGCCTGCTGTATATTTGGAGTTTGCGTGTCTGTGTCCATGTGGTCGCTTGGATTTTTCTCCCGGTCCTCCGGTTTCTCTCTCCACATTTAGAATCGACACGCGTTCAGAGTATTTGGCTGTTATACAATTTCACGTGAGAAGCCACTCCCCGTTCAGCTATCACTTGTGATATCCAGGTCGCGTCTGAAGCTATATCGCTCAGTAGGCCTTACTTTGTAAAATAAAATAAAAATGTTTAATTTTTAGTCGAATGACTGAGTTTGAGGTGGTGATTTTCCGGTGACAATGCAATTATCCAGAAGGAAGAAGGAAATGACACTTCCGTTTGAAACGTTGACGTGGATAATGATGCACACAGATAAGGTTACTGGTGATGTCCAACAGAGCTAATGACAATGGATAATCGCGATAAAACCTCATGCTGCAGCTGCTTCTGAGGATGATGACGAAGCCCTGAACGATGATCATCCGAAAAGCGCAACGTGACATGCTTGCTGACGACGCTCCTGATGATTCTTCTTCTTGGTTCTTTCGGTAAAGTCACGTAGAAGGGAAGTAATAAAATAATAAAAATAAAACATAATAAAAATAATTATAAAATAATTATTTTATTTTATTATGTTTTTTTTATTATTTTATTACTTCCCTTCTACGTGACTTTACCGAAAGAACCAAGAAGATGAATCCCTGCAGTCACGAAAGCTTTAAATCGAAGCTCCTGATGATGTTAAGAATTTGGAGCAGCACGCGATGTAGAGAATGACAATGTACATTTACACCCCTTTTGTCAATCCACTGCTGGATGACAGGCCTCCCCTTGTTGTTGTGCGGGTGGTGGTTTGGGTTATCGAACCACAGCTCTACCACTGTGGTTAGTGTGGGTTGGTGAAGGCCAACAGGGAGCACAGGATTACACGTCAACACGTGTGTTTGCTGCACCGCCGTCTGTTGCCAACCACAGAAAAGCCTATAACACTTGCTGTGCATGGTGGTGCATACGTGATGATGATGCTACTGATAATGACAGCACTGATCAACACTGCTGCTGCTGATAATAATACTCTGATGAAGTCATCATACTCAGTGCCTAACTGCAGCTGGAATAAATCCAGAACGCTGTTCGGATAATTTACTTAAACGGCATCCACAAAACGCCGTAATTTATTTAACGAGAACCACACGAACAAACAAAAGTACATGGATCTCATTTGTGTACACCTGAGGCTAAGGCAGTGGGTTCTTCACCTTTACTGCAGCCTTGCACCCCCCATTGGTTCTCAATCGTAAATACAAAATGTGCAATGTTAATAAACACACACAGGGTTTCATGAAACAAAGTCGGTGCGCTTACGTGCCCGTGCTTAATGTGTGTTTCCGATTATTTTACTTTCTAAATTAAATCAGACCACGTCTCGCACCCCCAGAAAGGGCATCTCGCACCCCAGGTTAAGATGAACCACTGAGACGAGGTTATACACAGACAAAGTAGTCGACAACGATACTATAAGGAATATAAGGGATTGCGTAATGGCTAGGCGTGGTCGCTACTCGGGTGGTGGTGGTGGTGATGCCTTAGGGTGGCAATGTCCACTCCGAACCAGCCGAGCAGTTTAGGAAAACGAAACTCCGACAATTACAAATCACCCAGATGCCGCTGCCATTGCCGGCGCTGCTGATGCCACCAAACGCGGTCGAGGACACCGACACGCTGCTGATGACAGCGACAACGAATCGTGACACGGACGATGCCGATGACGAACAACACTGGCGAATGACACCGACGCGGACACTAAACACCACCGGTGACACGGACGCTGCCGATGACATTCGACACAGCCGACGACACCGACACTGCAGCCGTCAACCCCACCGCCCACGAGACCCAATACCGACGTGGGTGACACAGCCGACTGACACATCATCGTCATCATCACGACTACCGCCTGACACATCATCATCACGACGAGGACGACGATCCTCGTGATGATGACGGCGACACGTGCGCGCGTTACCGTTCTCTCCCCGGTGGTGCGAAGGAAGAAATCCTGAATCTGCGCCACCGCCTGCTCGCCGCCGATGTCGTGCACCTCCAGCGCGCCGCTGCGGAAGTGGTACTTGGACAGCGCCGCCTCGGCCGCCGTGCAGAAGGGGCAGCCGCGCTTCACGAACACCACCACCTTGTCCGCTCGCACCTTGCTCGTCACGTACTGCTGCGCCATGCCGCCGGCGGCGGAGACGACGATGTCGCGATCGATCGGTCGGGACGCGGACAACAAGATGACGGCGGCGGTGGCGATGATGAGAAGCAGCAGCAGCGGCAGCAGCAGCAGCGGGGGGTGCAGGAAGAGACGCGGGCAGCTGAAGACGGTGGTGGTGTCGCGGCTGGGCGCGGCTGTGCCGCCCTCTTCATGTAGGAGGGGTGGGGGGGACATGGCCCAGCCCACGGCTGAGCGAGCGAGCGAGCGGTGCGCATCCCCGGTTTGAGTGATTGCCAAGCGAGACGGGGGTGGTGGGGGGGTGGTGGTGGTGGGAGGGGGGTGGTGGTGTGGGGGAGGGGGTGGTAGTGTGGGTGGTGGTGGGGGGGAGGTGGTGGTGGGGGTGGGGTGGTGGTGTGGGGGAGGGGGTGGTAGTGTGGGTGGTGGTGGGGGGGAGGTGGTGGTGGGGGTGGGGTGGTGGTGTGGGGGAGGGGGTGGTGGTGGGAGGGGGGTGGTGGTGGTGGTGGGGGTAGTGGTGGGAGGGGGGTGGTGGGAGGGGGGTGGTGGTGTGGGTGGGGTGGTGGGGGTGGGGGTGAAGACGTCCGCTAGAGGTCTCTCTCGCGACACAGACAAAGATCCCCCGTGTAGCCTGTAACAGACTGTAGGGGCAAGTGCTGCGAGTAGCAGCACCTATACACAAAGATCCGTCGTGCAGCGTACAACAGACTGTAGGGGTCTATAATATAGGTGTGTTTTGGGTTACAGGGCGTGAATATCAATGTGTCGTTAAACCCGCCACTACCCGACACAAACAATTAATATGGTTTGTGACGTTAGCAAAATGTGACAATTCGCTACGAGTTCAGCACACCGATGTGTTGAGTAAACCCACAACATTTACAATTCGAGTACATTACTTGTATAAGCGAGCCACGCATGCTTCGAGTTTTGCTGACTGGCTTCTGGCTGGGCTCCTGCCCACCCCAACGATAGCTCTGTGTTGTTAGTGTCTGCTGCTACGGCCCGTTGACTTTTATCGGGAGGGTCCTGCAAAATGTTCGCAGTTAGGGAAGCAATAGTTATTGCCATGTGTAATTCCAATTGAGTCATTTGTGGGTTGTTGTTACTTTTTTTCTAATTTGGTATATTTTGAAACCGTGACGCCGGGCACACAATGGCTCGACTCTTGCGAGCGAGGCAGCAGGGGGTCTTTACCGACCGCTGCGGTATTTCTATGGTTAATAAACGTGCGGTATTTGACACGGACACTGTACGTACGTTTTCAAACCCATTTACCGATCCCTTGCTCCGCTATTGATTCATGGGTTAGGACACGTAACGATCTGACCAAATCTGCCATTGTAAGCCCTCCACCACCCCACACAAGCTGTTTATTGCGCCAATTGTGGTGAGCTTACCGATTCGTTGAGCAATCTTCACAACCAAACCCATCGATTAGAGACACTGCTGACATTGGTACTACCCACCTGATGACAGTGACACTGCTGATGACCATAACACGACTGACACTTCTACTAATACTGCTGATCATACCGAAAACTGCTGCTGACGCTCACACGAACACTGGTAATGACAACAACACAGCTGATGAGATATACTATTCTGATGACACCAACACTGGTAACAACACTGACACTGCTTATGAGACTGATACTGCCGATAACACAAACAATGCCGCGTTCTGATTGGCTGCAGCGGTTGGGATTGGTCGTATATATGCCTCGACGGGTAGTAGAAAGATGGAATTTTGGAGTTCATGTGTAATGACATGGTGACACCTGCTGGCCGGGAAAGGGAATCACGGGTACAGGCACGGTTAAGTACCAACCAATCAGTGAAGGAGGTGTATCTGGGGCTAAGGTAACAGGTGGGGTTAGCCGAGATGCTCCGGGAACCTGCTCGAAGGTTCCACGAGAGGGCGTGGCTGGAGGCGGGGCCTAGCCACGCCTGGGGGGATATAAGGGGGAGCGGACCCGGGGCTCGGGGCTCGTGTGTGGAGTCTTGGGTCCTGGCTGCGTCGCTGCTCGCCGACATCTCTCTCCGTCGTCCGGCCACGTGGAAGATCTCCTGCGTGGCTTCCATCGCCATCATCGACACTCCACCAGCCAGCGGCGTAGCCAAGTGAGGGCGGTGGGACCACGCCGAGTGATCGGCTGTGTGTAGCCAGTAGAGACGTTAATATCTAATTGTTGTACTCAGAGTGAGAAGAAGAATAAGTGTTGGCCTGTATTGTGCCCAGTGTGAGAAATAAAAGAAGTACCCTCTGCACATGTGTTGAGCAGTAGCCTGATGACGTCATGGGGTAGTGGGATGACGTCATGTGACGGGGATTGTAAAGGGTTACTTAAGGGGGGCCCCGTGACGTGAGCGGGGTCGTTGTGGGAGTCCGGGCTGAGGCAGGTCTCTCCCGCTCGTGACCGGACGGAGTTGGCTGAACCCCGGTCCGGGTTTGACGATTGGGAAGAGCCGTCGAGATAGCCGAGGGTAAGGCTCGAGAAAGTCCGTGAGAGCTGGCTAGGGAGAAGTGGAGTGCTGCTCTCACTCGGTCGGACAGAGTTGGCTCAACCCCCGTCCCGACTCGGGTGAGAGAGCCCAAGGGAATAGCCGAGGCTAGGGACAAGAGTAGAGCCGAGGTCCAGGGGAAGGGCCGAGTGTCGTGTGCACCTACCTCTGGTGTGAGTTAGTGTGATTATTAACTGTTAATAAACCGGCGTAAGCCCTTACAAGAAACTCCGAGTCCGCGTGATTCTACACCTCAACACGTATAACCATGAACAGCGCAGCGACGTGCGGTGAGGTCAATGGCTGGGGAGGCACTGGCTTGTGTCAGAGCCAGATTCACACACTGAGAGGGCGTGGCCTCACGGAGGGGGGCGTGTTAGACACGTCCCCCTCAGTGAGACAGATGTGACAGCTGCCTCTCCTGGTGCTTTTTCATTGCAGTTTCATGACGAGACCAGAGAGCCTAAATATCTTTATACACATACGTGAAATAAGTTACCTGGAGTATGGAAGGCGATGACATGAAATGAAGGGGTCTACAAACATTACATTGGTGACATACTGAGATAGTAACAGGCACGCGCTTATTGCCCGCGCCCCATCCAGTTACTGAGGGGTTGCGCAATCAGAGGGGAGGCTGAGCTCGTCGCTGCCTCACCTCTCATCTCTTCCTGTATTTGCAACGGAGCTCCGAAAATTTGGCGATTTTTACTAGAAAAATTATTGGAATCGTACAGAAATTACATTTATAACACAGATCAGTGGAAAAATCTTTGTATTTATTTTTTTTGATTATTCTTTTTTGCACATTTCGTAACAGCTATTTTCATTGGAGTATGACAGTTGAGGCTCTGCCTCCCCTGACTGCACGTCCCTGGAACATTGTATATCCACTGCGGGATGCACTCTCCATGTTGTGGCCATCTTTCACAGTAATGGGATGCCACAATATGAATACTTCCACGGGACATGTTCATCTGAGTGATTGTCGACCTCTTCGGTGATTTCCGTCCTTTGCCTGCCATTCCATCACGTGTGTAGCGATGTCAATAGGCTGTGTACACGTACCTGCAGGGGCAGTCAGGGTCCTGCAGGGGCAGTTGCTATATCCCTAGCCCCAAAGCAGGAGGGGGCTGCGGGGTGTTCTCAGATCCCCTGGGAACCCTCCCAGTAGGAGGGGGCTACGGGGTGTCCTGGGATCCCCCAGAGCCCCCCTCTAGAACTCCCTGGAAGGTAGGCGGGGCTAGGGGCTGACACACCGATGCTGGGTATAAAAGCCGGACCCCAGGAAGGGTCCAGGGCCAGTCCAAGACAAAAGCTAGAAAACCAGCTAGCTAGTACCCTGGGACCCCTAGCCCCACTGCCCTTGTAAGGGCCGGGACTCTGTGGGCCAGTCGTGAGACCCTGGGAACCCCCGGCCGGACGTCCTTGTGGCCTGACAAATGGTTGCTAAGAGGAGCATATTCACATCCAGGCTACCCCAGTGACGTCCACTTAAAATTAACCTCCCATCAAAACTATAAATGACCGTTGACTTTTGGTATGTAGAAAAATATGTTCGTGAGTGATGCAAGACTGCGCATTTAACAAAATAAAATTATACATTTACCTTTTGGCAATCCACTGCTGGATGGAGCACCTCTCCATGCCGTTAGTCGTGGGGCGTTTGACCAAAATTCAAAATCACGCTGGCCAGTGCAATGTTACAACTATTTGAAACCAGTTTTTATTTTACCAAGGCCCACTGAGCTATATAGCTTTCTTAGAAGGTAACTGGCCACAAATTATAGCTCAACCAAGTGGCTTTTAACACCTGGACATTTATAGCAGCCGAAACGCATGCTTCTAAATATGGAGGGGAAATCCCAGAGGACTTGGAAAAAAAATCCACATGACCACGGGGAGAGACATGCAAACTCCAAATATAGATACCAGGGTCAGGATGGAACCCACGACCGTCTGTATACCAGTTGAGGTAGTTAACATCGAGGCACCGTCGGTGGGGGGGGGTCAGGACCAGTTCACATACCACTCGTCACGGGTGCAAGCCGTGACCAGGAATCTAACGCGGGTCAACCAACTGCACCACCGCTCCCACCCTGGCCAGAATTCTATAAATCGCTTTGCATGAACAATACAAAGGGGGGTCCACGAGTTTAGTGGAGATCCATCGGGGTCACCTCAAACGTTTCTCACACACGCCAGTTCACGAGTGAAAAAGGCCAGGATGAGCTCAAACCAAGACAATAGCTCCCAGTAGACTATTGCATTTATTTTAAAACAAATTATGCTTCATCGGTCAGTAAGGCGAAGTTTTACACAGGATTTTCAAGGTGTTCCCGTTACCACATTTGTGGAGATGCAAACGAGACTCAAACAGAACGGCATGAATTTGATGGGAAAGGACTTTGACGGGACAGACGACATGTTTAATTCCAATTGTAATAAACATACAAAACAATGTTGCACAGGACGGGTTTAAATTCCTGTGGCATGTATTTACAGCTGAAGCCTATGGTAATAAACACCTGCGACTGATAACTTTGCTTCCCCAACATAAAGTAACTTTAAAAAAAAATTTGCAGGACGGTGCTTGCACGTTTAAAAAAATTTAAAATTAAATGGAAAGAAAAAGTAGAATCCCCTCACCCTCCCCCCACCTTGGTTAGAATGGCAAGGGCATCAGTTTCCGCAGTTGAGAAAACAGCAACTTTTTGATTCAGTAGAAACCCATCCTTACCAACTCAAA